CCCCTATTTCCCCCCAACTGACCCCAATGTGTAGTGCTCCCCTCCCTGTGTCCATGTGTTCTCATTGTTCAACACCCAGCTATGAGTGAGAACATGCGGTGTTTGATCTTCTCTTCTGTCAGTTTGCTGATCTGTCACTTTTAGCTGTGTGACCTCAGCCAAGGGTCGCTGCCTTTCTAGGTCTCCGTTTCCACATATGTAAATTGAAGAGCATATGACTTTACCTTGCCCAGTTGTGTGAATTAGAGATGTAATTTCAAAAGATGAGCACACAGGAAGCCCTCGGGGGACTTAACGGCAGCAGGACACGGCTCTTCCTTCTGTTAGTACTATTGCTTCTAGCCTTTATGCTCCCTGATTCTGTGCTTCTATTCAACCCTCCATCTGGTAATCATTTGTTGAGTACCTACTACGTGCCGGGCAGTGAACAAGAAGATGGAGTTTCTACCCTCATAAAGCTTGCATTCTGGCAGAGAGGTAAATGCACTTTAAGTGCACAGACACAAAATAATTGCAAATTGTAATAGATACTATAAAGGAAATAAGCAGCTTGCTGAAATAGAGAACAAGGGGTGAGGGGAAGGTGAGGCACAAGTTGGATGTGACATTCGGGGAGGTTTCCCTGAGGCTGTGACATTTCTATGGGTCCTGAAGACTGAGAGGCAGTCAGACAACAGAAGAGTTAAAGGGGGCGCCATCTGAGCAGAGAGAGGAGCTGGTGCAAAGGTCTTCAGGTGACTACCTGTGGTGGTCAAGAGGCAGATAAGAGGCCAGTGGGTGGTTAGCAGGGTGAGTCAGAGGCCGGGAGCTAGGAGGCTCTCACTCTGCCTGACAGGCCAAGGTACAGAAGGTGAATTTTTAAAACATACATATATAAGTGTAGTAAGTCACTTAAACAGGAGTTTCATGGCCCGCCTTGTATTTTTACAAAAGTAGTTCTCAAAGTGTGATCCTCAGCCCAGAAGCACCACCTGGGAATTTGTGAGGAATGGGAATTCACCGGCGCACTTCTGGTCTAATGAATCACAGACTCTGGGAGTGGAACTCAGCAGTCCATAGATTAACAAGCCCTCCAGAAGATGCTGCTACTGCTGGTCTGGACTGGAAGCTCAGTGTTTCTCAATCCTGGCTGCACAAAAGAATCATATAACTTTGGGAGGCCAAAGCAGGTAGATTGCTTGAGGTCAGGAGTTCGAGACCAGCCTGGGCAATGTGATGAAACATCATCTCTACTAAAAATACAACAACAACAAAAATCTGGGTATGGTGGCACACACATAGTCCCAGCTGCTCAGAAGGCTGAGGCAGGAGAGCCGCTAGAACCTGGGAGGTGGAAGTTGCAGTGAGCCGAGATGGCACCACTGTACTCCAGCCTGGGTGACAGAGCGAGTCTCTGTCTTAAAAAATTAAAATAAAAAGAAAAATCTATGAGCTTTCATGAGCTACAAATGTTTACAGACCTTCCACCTCCGATCCCTAGATTCAGATATAATTAGTCCGGATTTGGCCCCTGGGTGTTGGTAGGTTTTGAATGTTCCCCAGGGCTACAGCAGCTAGGACCACAGCTCTAGCTGCTGTGTGGAGAATAGACAGCAGGGGAGAGGGAGGAGATGCAAGAAGACCAGGAGGCTAATGCAGCGGTCCGGGTGAGGGATGATGGTGGCAGAGAATACGAAGGCACTTAGACAGATCTTAAATTTACTTAGGAGGGAAAAACCCAACAGGACTTTTAGATTGATTGGATATGGTGTGGGAAGTGGGAGTTTTGTTCAGCATCAGATCAAAGGGAATGCCAGTCATAATAGTAAAGACCCTGTGCTTAAAGATAGTCTGCAGCTGGAAGACCCTTGGAACGTGGACTAACACTGAGCGCAGCATCCCGAAGAAGTCTATCTTCTCTATCTGCCCGGCCATAAAGAAGATTGCAGCAAAGTTAGCAAGATCTAAGCTTATCCTAAATTCTCAGAGGAACTGTAATGTGAACTAGACTTTACAAAAAAAATATCTGCGTACTCAGATAGGATGTTCCTG